CTAATGACAAAAGAAAAACAAAGAGATTACGGATAATCGAAATTTAACATCTATGTCCAGAATGTACACAAATATGCGGGCCTTTAGTACTTCTTAATAGGCTCAGTTATGTGTGATTTCCGTACGACTTCAAGTTGACGGAGGTGCTTGTGTTGAGGTGAATTAGCTGGGCCAGGGGACACTTTGTGATTTCTGTCAAAAGCATTGAATCTCTTAAGCGCCGTACATTGACCTCTATCAAATATATAATTGGGTGGAATGTGAGGGATGATAATATCTAGATTTAACCAGGGCTAAAAGCGAAGCTCTCTTTAATATTTATAGTTTTCTCAAAGAAAATATAAAATCGAGCAATACTAAAGACAAGATGAAAACAACGAGAACGGTAAAAAACAACAACAATAGATCTAATTAGCAAAAAAACAACTTTGCACGTCCAGCACACTTTTTTTTTCTAATTAGCAAAAAAACAACTTTGCACGTAAAAAAATGCATGCAAGCGATAACTTATTGATCTTATCAACATTATAAGCCTTATCATGCACCTGTGATGCCCTGAAAAAGAAGATTCGATTCCGCTAAAGACCAAGAAAGCCCGCCCGCGCGGCATCTGAAGAGAAACAGTTTGTGGGTTTCCAGTTATCAGGATCGAATAAATGTTAATACTTGGTAGTTACTGATTTTTCAGCACATCAGCGCATAATGCATCAGTCAATTCCAGCTGCGTCCACCCCCCCCCCCCCCCCCCCCCCGGGGGGCTTTTGGAATTTTTTGTTTTCCGGGGGCCCGGGCTTTTCCCACCCCCGGGGCCCATCCCGGTCTTTTTTTACCACCCCGTTTCTCTTAAAGAAAAACACAACAAAGAGGATTTTTTATAAAAAAAAAAGACATTTTTGGAGATGAACATTTTGTGGGTTTACAGTTTTCAGGATCAAAAAAATGTTAATACTTGGTAGTTTCTGTTTTTTCACCCCCTCCCCCCCTAAAGCATCAGTCCATTTCCGGTGGCTCCCCCCCCCCCCCCCCCGGCTACTGCGGGGCATTTGGAAATTTTGTGGTGCCCGGGGGCCGGGCATTTGCCAACCCCGGGGCCATTACCGAGCTTTTGATACGCACGCAGTTTCCTATCAGAATATAACTACACAGAGGATTTTACTGAGAAAGAAAGTAGATTGGCTCATCTGTAAAGGACGGAGAAAAATTGAAAAGGGTTTTAAAGGCATATTCTTGATCTTATGCATGCATTTCTTCATTGCTTATCAAGCCAGAATTACATAGCGAAATTGGGAGCTATCAACGTGAGTCAACGTTTTTTGGTTATTAAATCAAATTTCTGTTGATATTATTTGAAAAACTTCCTTTCATATTTATAAAACTATTCATAAAATATAACTTTACAGCGCTCTATTAATTTTAATGTCAATAATTCTACATCAATACTAAAATTATAAACTCGTGCATGTGGTCGCAGCGTGAAGTCTTAATGGGAATCCCAGCGCTATTACAAAGGAGGACGTTAATTGAAACAAAAATTCGCACATAAAAAATGCTTAAAACGGGTAAAACGGCACTACTAGTGCGTTTTAAGTTTAAGTTTTCAGCAAATCTAAACCATACTCAACGACTTCTTACGAACATGTGAATATTTTAACTTTAGGTAAACTTAAAGACTCTTTTACCTTTGGTTTTGCTCAGTTTTCATTGATCGTTAACGAATAAATAAGCAGTTTTCTTTCTCAGTTTTACAGAAAGAATTTTCATTCAAACTAGACGATTGTGGAGTGTTTGTAATCAGCCAATAGAAGCGTTTGTCTAGTGTCGCGGGTTACGAGAATTTTGCAGTTAATCAGAAAGCAAGCATTTTTGTCAGCTATGTTACAAAAGAATTTGCTCATGCTTTTAGCTGTGCGTATATCGAGTTATGGATGCACTTGAGAATTTTGGAGAGCACTCAAGAAGCTACAGAGTTGCTCTCGGCTGCGCCTCGAGTTACTCTTACGTATCTGTCGTGCTCTCCAAACTTACAGCGTGCATCGATAACTCGATATACGCAGGCTGACGCATGAACAAATTCTTAAATAGCGAACTAAACTTTGCCAGTCCCTTGGCCCTGCGTTATATCGAGGTTCTACTGTTCGTTGCTCCAATCAATATCAAAATTAAATGAGTTGCTTTGGTGTTAATTAGTACAGAGCGTTTTTACCAATTCTGCAAAAAGGAGCCGAACTAACGGAATGGGCTATTGCATTTAATATCCGTACCCCACCCCTCGGTTGAGGAAGTACCCTGAAGATAGGCTAAAATTGCATTTACCCCTGAAGACTTCCATAAAGTATGGGCTTACCCTTGAAGAATATGAGTCAGTACCCCTGAAGAATTTCGTGAACATTAAAGCCTCACCCTCAAAGAATACCATATTTTTTTACTCTGCTCCTAAAGAAATCCTCATTGTTATAACTTACACCTGGAGAATTCTATGGTTCCTCAACCGGGGATGAGGGGTGGGGATATTAAATGCAATAGCCCAATGGCATCCGAGTTACAAGAACCAGAATTCGAGTTATCGGGATAAGTTTCAGTGAAATTTTGATCAAGGGAAAGGAAATTTAGTTCGACTTTAATAACAAGTATTCGCGTTATCCGAGTTCGAGAAAAACGCAATTGTGAAGGCGGCTTTTGAACTTTAGAGTTCGCGTGTTTGTGAAAAACGCAGTAAGGTTAAGAGAGTAAGCATAGATTTAAAATGTGTTTACAGTTTACTGAGACTTTGCTGTTAGCTGCGCGTTTTTCCGGTTTTATAGTTTGTGGTATCAAAACACCTGAGCATATATATTATATAAGAATATCGAGGCTGAAATTTGCGAAATTTTAAGAATATTTTAAGAATAAAGCCGAGGCTGAGATTTTGAAAAGGATAGATATAATTTTGTGTGCGAAGTGCTTTTTTTAAAGCCAAAACGGCCAAGTGTCGTTTGACGTGACATCTTGACCTCGCCGACTGCAACGAAAAGCGATGGAGCACGTGCACAATGTAACACGATACAGATCTAGATACCAAACACTTGTGATTGATAAGCTATAATTTAAGAATAATACAAGAATATTTTCAACCTAAAATCGGCAGAAAAATAAGAATATTCAGCCTGGGCCGGAAAAACAACATTTTTATAAAAAAAAAAAAAGAGTGTACTATAAAATTAATTAGTCGCTAAAATTGTGAAGGATTAAATTAAATTAACTGCAAAAACCGTGGACGAAGATCCTGCTAATTGTAAACGTTGGATCTCTAGAAAAGAGATCAAATCAGCCAAAATATAAAGAACCAAGAACGAGAAGTCCAAAGACTACTGCAAAGCTGATTTAAATAACAATATTTCGGTTGTGCATGAAATTTAATGTAACAGAGCTACAGTGGAACCTCGAAATACCAAGATATACCAAGGGACTGGCAAAACTTACTCGTTCGCTATACTAAGGTTTGGTCCATCTCCCGGGGTCCATCTCCAGAATATTTTTCAACTACTGGAGCGACGAATACCCCCTAGTTGTGGTAGGGTTCTTTAAAAGTATTAAGGTTCCACTGACTACTGAAACAGTCCGCCCGATGCGATTGATCGATTAAAAAAGCGTTTTGGGACCTATGGTTGTAGTAACTTGACGATCAATCTTGGCACTGCCGACTAGAAAATTACGCAAATGAGTTTCAGTTTTCACACCGAACACGCAACGTAAATGGAGAGAAAATGAGATATAAAAAGGCCTTGAGTCAATAAACGATGAAAATGTAAACATACCCACTCAGCTAGTTACAACCGAAGCACAGTTAATGGTCCATGATAAGCTAGAATTCAAATGCTGCATTCGTGATATGAAAAAAGTCATTTTCACTCACCAATCAGATACAGTGGCGGTACGTAGACGTTCGGCTGTAACGGTACTAAGATGATTATCCAAATATTCTGGATATATCTTGTGAATAAATAATACGATGACACTTTCTCGCAGTAAAACTGAAATTAGTAGCAAAGTGGAACAGCAATCGTTTCCCGTGATAATTTTCTTGTTTATAGTTTGTAAGTTCTCGTAATGGCTTTTTCATGCATGACGTTATCTCATCACCAATCACATCCTCTTGGGTGTATAAATAATATATGTGGTTATACAGGTTATATGATACGGCATTTTTATTGCCTTGATGTACATTGTTATCGCAGGGAAACCGCACGTAATCTCCCGTTTCCTTCCGAAAATTTCTAACCGATGTGATAAAAATTATTTCCAGTGTTCCAATTCGAAAATATAAACAGATATGACATTACATGCACACTTAACCTTTGCTAGGGTGTCTAATCGCTTTAGCGCGCGCCTCATGGTACTTATATGTGAATACATACACAACGTTTTTGTTTGCTTTATCAGTGTTCTTCGCATTTTTTAAAGGTTTATTACTATTATTTCTGTTTTTTCCGTTTCACGCTCTTCATTTTCCACGCTCTGCACTCCCCCCTTAACCGAGGACATATCTTCTAAAACTAAATAACTAATTTTAAGTGCACCTAAAATCTAAAGAAAATACATATCTAGTAACCAGGCAGGTCAATCTTCGAGGCATCCTTTATCCTCTCTTGTCCAAATTCAAAATGTCACATCTCAGCTCAGATTGATTGAAAAAAATTTTTCAGCTTTCAACTCCCCTTGAATAGTTTTTTTAAAATTGATATAAAAAAATCGGCAGGGTCTAAAGTTTAAAATTTACGTATGAATGACGTCAGTAAAAGTGATGTCAAAATATATGCCAATTTGATTGGCTCAATATTTTGTACTTTCAGTTTGGTAAGGAAAGAGATAGAGCTAACAAAGTTATTGTAAATTAATCAATATTTAGACACTTTATGATCAGTTTGGGGGGTGGTTTGGCCCCGGGTGTGAAGTAATTTGGCACTCACTGAGATAAGCTTCTTAAGTTCACCCAGTATTCCTACCACCCTGCTTATTTTTTG